AGAGATAGATCACCTTTTTATATCTATTGTTTTACCTAATTTTAGCTATGCGCTTTCAGTCTATGGGGCATCGGAATCCGATCTTACGGTTATACAAAATTTTTTAGACCGATGCCATAAACGCCGTTTTATTTCATTTCCAGTTTTTATCAAGAATCTTTTAAATAAACAAGACCAAAACATTTTAAAGGAATTATTATCAACGGATTGCCACCCACTAAAAGATATCATTCCTGTCCAGAAGACTTATGTACATAATCTTAGGAAAAAAGGCTGCGTACGCCCGAAAATTAATACAGAGCGGTTTATGAACACCTTTGTAAATAGGTTGATTTTTAAGCTCCATTTATTGTAATGATACACTCTTTTAATATATAGATATAACGTAGATATTTTTATCATAGTTTTTATCTTCTCTTATTGTAACATAAGATATGTAGTTTTATCTTTTGATGAAATAAAGACTCATTATTATTTATTATTATTATCATTATTATTATTATTATTATTATTATTATTATTATTATTATTATTCCGTTTTTCTTCAAGGGAGAGATACCCACTTTGTCCTTTTTCATTGACTTGATAAAGGACCAGAAACGCTTACCCAGTGTGGGAAGGTCAGGGTTTGTTGTGGAATCCAATAAATTGGAGACGTAAGCGTTGTAGGTTTTAAAAGCTTGCTCTTTGTTGCTTTTCTTTTTTTTTTTTTTCGTGGGTCTGGAGTTGCTTTGCTTTGCGATATAAACGCTGCTTTTTTCGAATAGCTCTCTTAAGGGGTGATGTAAGCCACGGGACATGCCATCGCGGCATCGCCCAGAGATCTTTTTGTACTGTGTAGTGAACATACCGTTCTACTGCTTTGAGGATGGTGGACTTGGTTTCATTACTCAGTTGAAGCACTCGTCGCTGTTAGAAGTAATATTTACTATAGTCTCGCTCATAACTCGCGAAAGTTCATGGACAAGTAATAAGCATGAAAATGTCCACTTTGCTGACCGCCCGCGCCCTAAAGCGCGTTTTACGAGTACTCGAGAAACGCGAAACGAGTGCTGCAAAAGCCCGCGCGCGAGATGCATGCGCCAATCGAGAGACTGGGCTCTACAAGAAACCAACATGGCGACCGATTATTGAGGTTAGTTCACGTGTGAAGTCAATTGGATCTAAAGTAACATAATTAGACTTCTGGAACTCGGATTTGAGCTTCAGCAGTTCTTTTACTTACTCGTCAACACTTGGCTTTATTCATGATCCAAAAATTCTCGCACTTGGCATGGCAGAAGTCGTGAAAAATCTGGCACGGGTCTTGTGAGG